TGGGGGGTGTTTATGCCCAAACTGGGGGCTTTTTTAAAACTTAACTGAAGTACTGATGAAATACTTTTTGTTTTGCTTTGAAGGTTTTACCCTTTATTAAATATAAATAAAATAGGCAATGTTCATTTCTTTCAGATTTTTTTTTTTAACTTTTCCCCTGGTATTAAAAACCAGGTACTCTTCATCCAAAATACCTGATGAGTTAACATTAATTCACGTATATTTGACACATATTCATAGTGCTGATGTGACATTCTTTAAGCAAATCAAAAATTTGTCAGAAAAACCGTGCACAGTTCTGGGCATTATGAGACACCTTCTTTGTGGGCCTTTTTAGCCAGTGCATGCTCCCTACCTTTTCAAAAGAAAAGGGATCTTAAAGCAAGGAATGAGGCTCCAGCAGGATCCCAGGTGTGGGCAGACCTGTTCAGAAAGATGATGTAGGGAATTTCCCCTTGGTTTCCTTCTTTTAAGGGGCAATTTTCTTCCCTGCTCTGTGAGATCCATTCCTCATTGAAACACTTCTTTAGGCTGAATAAATATGAGAAAGAACATGAGGCTTTTGCTCAGCAGTCTTATTACCTAGACCACCCATCTCTTGTTAGTTTAACTCCCTGTAGAACAAATAATAACCAGTGGGAGAATAGTCTGGACCATTAATAGAGGCAGTGAGCCTTTGGCCACTGCAGGTTTGTATCATGACACTGACAGCCAGCAAGTTTGAAGAACCTCATTCAACAATGTGATGCCAGTAAAAATTAATTCTTTATAAATGTCCTTGACCTTTATTTTGAACTGAATACCAAGCAAAAAAATCCTGTAGGATCAGATGGTATTTGGAAAGAGCTGAATAAGCTATTGGATATATTTCTTAGGGTAAGGTGTCCCTGCATGAGGTGGTCATAATCCCAATGTCTATTTTGGTGTTTCTTCTCCTGTTAAAGAAATAACTGGCATTAACAGATGCCTGTTTTTAAGTTGCATTTCATTAGGGATTTGCATCTTCACTCACATAACCAGTTACTGCTCACGGGGTCATTAGTCTTCTCGCTGAAGCAATGATGAATATTTTCCTTAAGTGTGACATGTAATCCAGTAATGTTCCCTTTTTTGAGTTATTTCAGAGGCTTAAATAAATTAGGTGTCTGCCCAGGGTGCCATGCCCTTTGGCCTGTGACATCATTAATCAATCAAAATAGCTTTCAATTGGTTACAGTGGGACTCGGGCGCCCGTTAACCCCTTGGTGACTCACCCAGAGATTCCTGACGAGAGGTTCAGTGTTTACCTTTAAGCGCTGTGGTGCACTTGGGTAAATGATCCATATGTGTAACCCTACACTTGGCAATGTGAAACTGGAATCTTTAAGCATGGCACTTCTTTCAGTGTCTATTTGGGTTTGTATAGCTTGATAATAACTCAGCTGCTCTAAGTAATTTTTTTTAAGGAGCACAAGCAAAGTTCAGGCCATGAAGTAAAACTTCTGAAAACTTGTGGCAGCCTTTTTTCAGGTGTTGCAGAGGGCAATAATTTGGATTTTCAGAGAGAAATTTTCTATATGTGCGTGTATATATGTATATGTTAGATACATGTTATATATATATAACACAGACTCTTATGTGTAGATATAAAAACCGAAAGTACATGTCACCTAGTAACGCTTTTTGTAAGTGGATGGACTATCAAGATTTGACATTCAGACTTCTAAACTTTTCACTGCTACGCCAGTCAGCATTTTCATTTATTTTCTTGGTGCTTGGACTGAAACCAACCTGGGGATGATAATTTTCCTAACTATTTACTTCTCAAACAATTTTACTTTTCCCTTGATCAGCTCAACTGTGGTTCACAACCTTTGCTTCTGGCTGGCTATGAAGATGGATCAGTGGTCCTTTGGAATTTGTCAATGGGAAAAGCATTGAGCCAACTTGTTTGCCACCAGGAGCCAGTGATGAGCCTTGACTTTGACTCGGAGAAGGCCAAGGGGATCTCAGGCTCATCTGAAAAGGTGCTTAGCATCTGGAGCCTCGATGAGCAACAGAACCTCCAGGTCAGGATCACTGGCCCTCTAGTGTCATTTATCCCACTTTGCACTAACAGTTTGATAGACTAAAAAAATATTTAGTCATGAAGAGGAGTTGTTGCAGATCTCTAGCTAATTAATCACAGACTGGTTAGAATGTCTGTGCTATGTGACTAGACTTAGCAAAAGATGGTGAGGATTTAAAAAAAAAGAAAAAAACCCTCTCTCACATGTTTCTGGTTTTACCAAAGTTGCAACAGGCACACAAGCCTAGCATTACTCAAGCCATTGCCTCTGTATCTTCATTTATCACGTTAGTAGTATCCAGCTCTCGGAATGTCCTAAACGTTATAAATGAGTTACAAAAATGAGAAACAAAGGATTGCTTTTCCAAAGGTTCTGCTTGAATGGATAGCGCTTTCTTTCCACTGTGAGAAAGACAGAAATATTCCATGAAATACTTCACAAAAAAAGAGAGTAGCCTAGCTAATGCCAGGAGGACATGAGGTTTAGGCAACCAGCTTCCTTTGGCACCTTTAGAGCCCTAGCCGGAGACAGGGGAAATAAGTTAATCGGATATATCAGTTTGTGTCTGAGCTACGCATATCTGGAATGGCTGGGTTAGAAGGAGGTCTCATAATCACCAGTTCAGGCTATGCTAGTGAATGGCAATAAATATTGCTTAATCTAGACAACTTTAGCAAGTGTTCCAACAGTGCCAAGGGGTTAAGTAGGTTTTAACTAGGTGTAGAAATGAAGTGCATAAATAAAGGCTCATGAAAATTAAAATGGCTCATGCATAGCCTCTCCACTGCCAAGTGCTTTAACCTTTTCTAAAGTGGCAGTTGTCCCCTGAACACACAATGAAGAGGACCTGAACCAGCCCCTGTGTGTCCCCATATCATCCTTGAGAAGCGAGCTGCTGGATACACCAATTCATGGAAGAACAATAACCACTCTTCCAGCCTGCAGCTTTTGTGGAGATTTTTTAGGTCGTGTGGCAAGTTAAGGCTGTTTTCTGAATGGTGCTACAGGAAGAAAAGCAACTGCTTGGACGTCCGGTGGTCCACCCAGGGGACACCGTGAGGGTATATAATCTGTTAGGCATCACGACAGAGCTACCATTTATGGAGTGGCAGGGCACTAAGACCCCAGTGCATGTAGTGTAGATGCATCCAACTGAGATGAAGTTTGGAGGACACAGTGCTCACCGACGAGAACGTCTGAACTTTAATAAGCAATACGACATGAAGTAAAAGAGGCACTCTAGACTCTGAATAAGTAGCAAAGGTGTTCTAAGCCAATGTGATAAAGAAGAGTTTTACAAGTCTGCTACACAATTGTCATGGTTTGGGTTTTTTTTTTTTGTCATGTTTGCCCTGCCCCGGCCTTTCTATCGTTATTGGCACACATCTGCACCTGGTGTCCTTAGCTCAGGGAAGCAGAAGGAAGGTGAGCAGATAAGTTCCATTAAGAAATGTGGTATTGAGACTAGTTTTCTACTGCTAAGGTGTCAGAAATCTGACATCGTGACAGGCTTCTTAAAGCTTCAAATACTCTGGTGTTGGAGAGGAAGCTGTTCCTTCATATTAATTATAGCATAGCTTTTTCCTAAATTCAAAGAAAATATTGTTCTCCACAGCACATTTCAGTTATGAGTTAACTGTAATGCAGGGGTACAGGTATGACTCATAGCAAAAATAAACAATTGTTCACCTGAAATATTCCAGGTATTGTTTTCCACACGGTATTCACATTCCCAGGAGGTGTAGGATTAGTTACATCTTCAGCACATCACACTGAGAGATAGTAGCTTTTCTCAGAAGAAATTTAAATGCCAAGTATTATAAACTGTAAGTAATGTTTCTGTGCTTCATGCATAGTGTGAATGCCCTAATAAAATGCATCTTTCATATGAGCACTAGAGATTGTCAAAGGCATAGATTAAGTTTTTTTCCACTATTGCATTAATAATATAAACCAGATGGGGTTGGTTTTTTTTTCCTAACATTCCAGGTACCTGAGGTAATGGTAGACGTTGGAAAGCCACTCAGTGGCACATTATTTTTATTCTAAAAGGTTTTAATAAGTAAACGTGGTGCATAGCTATCTGCCGTTGGAGAAATAATGACGCAATGATGGTACTTCAGCTCTGTTTTAAGTGGCAATGTTCCAGTGTGTCAATGAATAGATGATGAAGGTAACTTCATAGTTTATTGCTATGGGGAAAGTTTGGTGTATTGTCTTCTACAGAAAGTTGCTGAAATCATCACTGTCAGCAAATGATTGGATTGGTTATAAGGTGCCTGATTTGGATGAGATAGTGTAATTATGTGATGATGTTTGTGGTAGAATGTAGGAGGTAAACAGCTTCTGCAGGTGAATAAACAAAGCAGAATTAAGAAATCTGATAATCACAGAAGCTCCTTTATATATGACAAGAAAAAAAATTCTATAAGCTGTAATGTAAGCAAGCGCACAAGTTTTCTTGGTTGGCTTGCTGAGGCTTTTCCCTCAAATGCTGAAGCTAAGGCTGCCGCTATCTTGGCTATTTTTCTAATAAGAATAGAGCTTAAAGACATGATTTGGGTGTAGGAGAGGGAGATTAAAAAAAAAAAAAAAATCATAGATAGCATGTGTTAAGGAGGGAAGGAGAGGTGGATATCTGTTGGCCTCAGCATGTCAAAATTTCTTAATGCATCTGCTAGTAGATACAAGTGTCCTTGGTCATGACTGGCTGAAAGCAGCTCACCTGTTTTTACCTCTTTGTTTTCTTAATTACAAGCTGGTTTTCTGGTTAGGAAATGATGTTGGTATGCATTTGACTACAGTAGTCACCCGTAAGTGACTGGATGGCACAAATCCTAGCACTAGGATTTCACCTGGCTGCATATACCTTGAGCAAGTTGTTCTACTTTGTTTTGTTTTCCTCTCTCACCTCTTGTATTTGCAGATCATGCACAAATGCCCACTGTTCCCTCATGTTCCATAGCCAAAAGGCATCACCATTATAGGCTTCATTTTCAAGTTGTAGCTTGCTGATGACATGCAATTTCTCCCAGTCATCCTGATTTTGCTGTATGGATCTTGCCCACGTAATTGACAGTAATGATGGGAAGCACCACGCCCGGGATTGGTTATAGCCATTAGCTAATAATCTCAGCTACAGAGAAAGGCCCATCTTATATTTGCCAGGCTGGTGATGTAAGTAATAAATCTTTCCTTGCCAGTACACATACGCCAACAAAAATCCCACTGAAGCCATGCTATATTAGCGCAACTGGGGAGTTTGGAAGAACATACATATTCGCAAAAAGCACAGGTTTTACAGTAGCAGCCCCACAAAGAGGCCCACATACAGCCTCCTACTGTTCATCAGGCTTGAGCAAAACTTGCTGTCCTCTGTTCTGAATTGGTCAGGTCCTGTTTAAAAGAGGAATACATGGAGCATGCAAGAAGCACATCAAGTTTCATTTAGCCTTTTTTTCTCATCAAGTTGCACATCTCTTGCTGTTTGAGTAAGTAGCTAGGCAGTTGTTATATAGTTGAAAAATAATTGCTTATAGCTTTGTGCCTGTAAGATTCCAAGATGTGTTCAACTGCCCCTGAAACAAACTTTGACCAGCATTTCTGGAGTTTTAGTTTTCTACATCCAGTATTATAGTTAAAATTATCCGCAATGAATATATTTTTTATAATCCTGTACTAACTATGCATCATGGAATGTCTTTTGAGGAGGAAAGCTACTCAGATGTAAGATGCTTTTCAGTCCCTTCCCACCGCAGAAAAACAGCAAACAACATGCAGAACATGCAGCATATTAAAACATATACTGAATTATATTAAGCTTTGGTACTAGTTACACATTCAGTCTTAAGTAGATGGTGGCATTAACACGTCATTTCCAATTGTGCTTATAAATAACAGCACTTCGAGGTCAGCATACACTCAAAAGGCGTTTTCCACATTGTGACAAAAGCTAGGCTATTTCAACATACACGTACACGCGTGTGCACACACACGCTCTGGTGCGTATACTGCATGTGTTTCAGAGGTAGACTGCTGACTAATACAAGTTACCTGAGATGAGAACAGCAAAAGTGTATTGTATTGAGCTTTTCCTCTGTGCTTCAGGGGAAGCTCATGTCAGTGAAGTGAAAACTTTTCTTTCCAAGGGCTAAGTCCTGTGCAGCCCGAGTGCCTCCTGAAGGAAGCTAAATGCCTTCCAATTTAATTGTGCCCCTCAGAAACTTGTGCCCCAGTAGTCTCCAAACAGTAACAACAGGCTTCCAAGATTGAAATCAATAACTTGTTCATAATCCCCGTCTTGGAATTTGGTGTAAATAAAAGTCTCTTGAGAAGGAGTAATAGAAATACAGATTTCCTGACAGTGTAACATAATTCCTGGAAGCATTCCTTTCTCAAGACTGTGGTAAATACTACCACAGCTTATTGGGGTTTTTGTGAGGGGCCACAGTAGTAGAAATAAGTAGCAGGTAGTTTAAACATCAGCTCAGAATCTCAGCATGGGAATATTGCAGAAGCAGGGAAAATAATATATGGCCATAGCTCTGAACATTGCAGCTCTTGCAAGAATAGCTGGAAGAAAAGAGCAAAGCTCTGTAGTCTGTTTCTCAAAACCTTGACTCAGAGCTTCACTTGTGACAGAATATAAATAGCTCTAAATACAATATAAACTAAAAACATACAAGGGCTGCTTTTGTTTTAGAGAATGGTGCTGGAGATAGGCTCAAGTTAAGGTCTTTTCCATCTCTCTCTCTAATTGTTCTCACTAAGGCATCATCATCCACCATGTGGTGAAAGCTCCATGCTACCTGCGTGATACCAGTGTATACGGGTGGGCACTATACCTTCTAAAATCCCAGAAGGTTCCTTTTTCTTCTGTTTTAAACAATTAGAGCTCATCTATAACTTTCTCACACAGGTTTACAAAACACACAAACTTGTCAACGCTGGCATATCTGATATCACCATCCGTCCAGACAAGAAGATTTTAGCAACAGCAGGGTGGGATCATCGCATCAGGATCTTTGGCTGGAAAAAACTGAAGCCCTTAGCAGTGCTGGACTACCACACAGCAACTGTCCATTGTGTGTCCTTCTCGGATCACAAAAACCCCAGCGAGAGACTGCTGGCAGCTGGCTCAAAAGATCACCGCATCAGTATCTGGTCAATATATACTCAGACGCGACATGTTCTGCACTGTCATGGACTAGGAAAACAGGATTGGTGAAGCAATTCTTTCCACTGTAATTCAAACCTGGATGTGGGGAGGTAGCAGAATGTATTTCCAGGCTGAAGCGAGAGTCCTAGGTTAATTTTTATGCTGCTTGTTCAAGCTGCAAGTTTTGTTTTCCAGAATGGGAAGTGGATTTTTAAAATTCATAACAAGCAGAGCAAGGCCAGTCATGAACGAAGACACAGAACAAGTCACTTTGAGTTCTGCTACAGGTTTTGCAACAGCTTTTCTTTGGCAGGTTGCCTAAATAACTTGTGCCAATATCTTCTTTTGTGAAAAAGGACTAAAATCCCTCAGACTGCAGCGGGGGCAGAATACATCTGTTTGTAAGTCATTTATGTATCCAAGAATCTGAATCAGTGTAAAATACCACTCTTTCTTGAGAATTTATACCCATTAAACCACCTCCAGTGGTTTCTCATTGTCAGTTACTTTTTCTTCCCCCAACTGAAAGGCTATCAGAACAACCTTGATTTGTTCACACTTCTGTCAGTTTCTAACTTAAACCAACAGCCAGGAATGTGACTAGGGACGGCCTTTGGCATTTATGAATTTCATTATGTCTCCTGTCACCTCAAGCCTCACAATTAATCACAAGAAAGAAAGGGAAAAAATCTTCCCCTGCACTGCACTGCAAAGCTATGTAAAGCCTTTTACAGAGCCAGTGCTAAATCCTTTCCATAGACTGACTAGCTGAAGGATTTAAACTCAGCAATCCAATTAGCGCCCTTCTCCTTGGAGAGTTAGGGGTAAGTTTCAGCATGGCAAGTCTGGGATTCAGCTACACAACTAACTCCCATTAACAGTTAGGGGCATTGCATGGATAAATCCGTATCCACACAGTGCGAATGGCTCCATTAATTTGTCATCTCTACGGTCATGGAAGCTGAAATTCATTCATGAAGGTTTTTTTTGTTTGAACCGTGAAGCAGCATTTGCTTTCTTTTAAAGCATATTAGACATACAACATTCTGTTCATAGACATCTTACTGTTGTATTCAGTCACAAAGTTGCAGTTACAACTGTCCCACTGAAGCAATTAGCAAAGGCCAGTTTGTTAAAAAGGAGGTGGCCTGGAAACTAGAACTCCGCTTTACAAACTGAAGTGTTTTGTGTCCAGGCTGTGCACTGTTGATACTTTATTGGAAATATTTGTTTCTGCCTCTGTACAGAGCTGGACATCAAAGAAAAAGTCACCAGAATTGTAGTGAACAGCAACATTGAAAGACTTTAGAAGTTATTTCAGGGCAAAGACACACGCAAATTAAGGTCTAGGTCTGCTATCTAGCTGTGCTTTACAGGCAGAGAATACTGTTGGACTAAAAGCCTTAAGCACTAAGCCCGATGTTCTTTCCATTAAAACACAGAAACAAGATAATGTTGCCAGGCTTTTCTAAATAAAACTTGGCCTTACACATTTTGGAGTGTGATGACACTTTAAATAATGCATTTCTTTGATTATTTCTTCACTATGCGGTAGCTGCATGGAGGATCACATTGCAGTTGACAGTTAAAGCCTAATTTTGAGTGATCCTGAGTCAAGGGGAAGTGGTGGTGTTCATTACATCTACCAGACAGAGTTGTATAGATCGTAAGTGCTCCATCTCCACCCATCATCCACCTCCCACACAGAGGAGGAGCTACCTACACTGTACAAGAGGCTGCAGCCAGCAGCCTTACGGAATGAGACAGGGCCTTTCTCCACAAACCTGCTGCTGGAAGAAACCTTTTCTTTTCTTCTTTTTCCCCTTTCTTAAAGTAGATCAGAATTGACATAGATGAACAAACAAATAAATACAGGAAACGTGGTCCAGGGACCTGTCATAGGGAGTTTGCAAAGAGATTTCCTTTTGGCTCTCCTGTCTCGTACTACACCACACATGAAGCCTGCCAGGCAGCCTTGAGATTGGTGTCTCCCATTTGAGTGGTGCTCTGCAAACAGAACTTAGCGAAATTCTGCTGTACAAGAACAATTTCACAATCACTTAATTTTTAAAAGGACATAACCCAGTGGATACATGCCTGGGTTTTAGTCTCCTCTTCACTTAGCTTATAAACAAGTAAGTTTAATATTAAATTAAATAAGTCTCCATCTGCTCAGGAGAGTGCCCTGCCCTGTGCTTTAACCTGTGTAATCACTGCACCTTTTTAATCAACAACCTTGCAGTGAGAGCTGATGAAGGCCCATGCCCTAACAAAACACTGTCAAGCTGGTGTTTGGGCACTGTCCTGGAAGGTGAAAAAAACAGCTCTGCATCTCCCCAAGCATGGTTCTAGGTGTCCTGTGTCAAAAATTAGCACTTTATCCCCCCCAACCCCAAGGTACAGGGTTAGAGGCACAACTGCTACCATCGTTTTGCATGGCTCAAGGCCAGGAACACCTTCTTGGGACTCAGTGCTGGAACCCAACATGCTTTTAGACTATATCTGAAAAAGCTTCTGACCAAAATTTAAGTTTCCACAGCTTATCACTCAAAAAAAACCCCCCAAAAAAACAAAGCCAAAAAAACCCACCCCCAAACCTCAAGACACATGGTCCCTAAAATCCAGCAGAAAAGGAAAGGAAATCTAGGGCTCGCCCATCTGGGGTGAATGGTTACTATAGGAAATGAGCAGGACCAAGCCTGGTCCCGGTAGAGAAGAAGTAATCACTCTCTCCTCTCATCCTTTTGATGGAAAAGGCAGTTGTGCCACCAGAGAGTATTGTAAGTGGTGAGAAGCCAGTTTCAAGACTGGAGTGGGGTCTAAGATGCAAACCTCTCCAGCATTTCAGGGCAGTTCCATGCTCAGCACACCCTTTGTTCAGAATGCCAGTTATGAGCACCTAATGCTCCAGGGCCATTGTGAGGCTCCGAGGCATTGATGTAGCCTGGCTTCTGCTCCTGGCACGGCTGGCTGGTGGGCCTCCCCCACGCAGCATTTCCCTCCCGTGTTCTAGACCTCAGGTCCCAAAGCGGTACGCAAAATGCATCTTTAATGAAGGCCTGTGCATCTTACATCCGCTGTAGGAAAAACTTTTGATGCAAGTACTATGATACTGGCACAGTGGCAGCCCCCTAGGAAGAATGGATTAATATCCCATGCCTTAATAAGTGCTATTAGATCAAAGCCTGAAAGTTAGGAACCTTTGAGTATATTCTTTTCTCTGAAAAATGCCATTTACTATCAACATTGGTGTCTAAAGTAATTATGGAGACTCACAAGGGATGTTTAGATTTACTAATAGGTCTTTTGGAAGATACTCTAAAGACTACTATGTGCCTTCACATCTAACTTACCACCCTTTGCTGGGGGTTAAATATTTATGTTTGTCTGACTAGGTAGATTTAAAAATAAACTCAGTCATGCAAGCACAAATTGAAAACAAGGGCATGAACTGCATCTGTAATCTTACTAGCAGACAGACACAGAGGTAAAGGGTTTCATCAGCTTCAAGAGGAAGGACACATGTTGCAGATCTGCTTGCAAGAACAGATCCATCTTACACTTATTTACTTCCCATTGCCAAAGCACTAGCCATGTGATACTTTTGCACGTTACAACAATTAATTCATTAACACTTTACATCACTACTGATTTTATTTAAACAGTCAGTAAAGGGATTTTTTTTTTTTCCCCACATTATAGTTTCCGTGAAATAAGCAACCAGACTGTATTAGTTTGATTTAGAGTTGAGCCTAAATGCCATAGTTAGAAAGTGAATTACAGTCTTCTAAAAGTTTATTTGCTTAAGGAACTGACCCGGACTTTCACAAAGTAGAATGATTTCCAGCAGGAAGGACAGTGTATATTGCTATGGAATGTAAAATACAGTTGTCTGATTGCATCTAGGAAATTAACAATTATTTTTCCTGAAAAAAATTTAAAGCTCTTTACAGTTGTAACATGAGCATGGCTATCACTCGAGATTTCAGCTAGCAGGAAGGCTGGGAGTGAAGAGCCACCTTAAGCTGCTGGAGTTAGCTCTGGAATCTCACCTGCCAGAAAGGAACAGGGCTAGCCTGTACCTGGCCTAAAGGATTCAGGAGTGAAGGTGATGACAGCTAAATTATTACAAAAGGCTTCCTCCCAAGAATCATCATCTTTGGCACTGTGAGAGGGAAGAAAGCAACCAGCATTCATAAACTAATAGAAATAAATCCCAAAACTAGCATTTGTGCAACAATTACACGGAATATTTATCACCACTAGAATGAATGGTGATCTCTGACCCTCTAACATTTTTTGCAAATGAATCCATTAGTTACAACCCCTTTCTCTTATCAGTACATGAACCATAGAGCATTGCAGTCTTAGGTGTAGATGAGCAAGGAAAGAGGAGATTAATTGTATTTGTAGTAATGAGTGAAAAAGGAAGTAGGCTGAGGGCCTGCGATAAGACAGTTGTTAAATTTAGCCCTATACAATGCAATTGCATTAGTAAGCCAATAAATTACTCTCTGCAGCTTGACTTGGATTGTTGCAAAGGTTTGAGTTTTAAAGAGCAGATTTTTGTAGTTAAGTCAATACTGGCTTCTGGACTGTTTCGGGTTTTAGTACATTTAAGATGCATCTACAAAGCCAACTTACAAATTAATAAATCTTTCCTTTAATTCAGCCTGCCAAGAACAAAGATAGAACACTGACTACTGCAGGAGCCATGTTAGTGATGTAAACCAAAGGACTGGGGATTAAACAAGGATTACCGAGTGCTAAATCAATGTGTTTCCTTTTCTGGCTGTGTGTCTGTGGTGTGAAAGTATGGATCATTACATAAAACATGGCACATGACTGCCTGGATTAATACTAGACAATGTTACAGCAATGCTGAGACACAAAGTTTGATGTTTAAGCATGACCAGTGTGCTACCAAGAAAGTAGATGGCAATGACTAAGGAAGAAGGGATGGTTTTTTCTGTTGTTCATAGTATTCTGAAATTCCAGCCTGGGTCCCCCTACTAGAGTAATTTTTCCAAGTAAGCCTGGCTGTGTTTAATCCATGCCCTACTCTTTTGGGACATGCTGGAGGTTTCCTTTATAATGTGAAGAAAACTATCCAGAATTAAGCTCATACTGGGGTTTTTTTGGCAATTCATTTCAGGATCTCACAACATGAAATTAAACACAAAAAAACCTCATGTCTGCACTATCAGATACAGCAGATGAAAATGTAACTTTTGACTTAAACTGAAGCATATCAGTCGTGAAATTTGCCAGCAACATCAAAGTAAGCATGGGGCAAGTAGCCATATTCTGGATAGCAAATTCTTTGTCCCCTGAGCCTACCACATACTGTCGTCCGTTTTGGTCAAGGCAAGACCAGCAGCCAGCATTTGGGCTGGTTAGTCGCACAGCCTTCCTTGTGTATGGTTTTATTTACCACCATCCTTTATCAAACACCATGAAATATCAGGTCTGTTTGGCTTAAGCCATCTGCTCCCCTATGCATTTTTAAAGCTATCAGCTCATTTACTCACCCTATTAAGAATTTTGTTCCAGAGTAGTGACACCCCCCCCCCCCCCCCAACCATTTTAAACTTTTGGTTCCAAGGGTGTGCACCCCCCCCCCCCCCCCCAATACATTTAGTAGTGATACACACCCCCAAATACATTTAATGCTCATGTCTGAAGAGGTAAAGTTTAACTATTAGTGGTTTATTCCCCTTCAATACAATCCATCACAAAAACTTTGACACTATAATGTATTATTAAAACACATAGTTGGGACCATAGCAACATAATCTCTCAATTGTGAATGTTTTGCTCATCTGATTAATGGTATGAAATATAGCTGTATGTTCTAGCAGCATTACTGCGTACTGCTTTATTCTGACTTATCTCAGAGGCATTTGATTTGCAGTTCAGTAGCCCTTGAAGCAAACCACCTCCAGCAAGGTGCCAGATTCCTTGTGGGAGAAGGACAAGGATGGCAGGGAGGAAAAGTACCTAGAGCAAGCAAGATAGGTCTGTCTTTTTAAACTTGTACGCCAGCTCTTTTCAGTTTCAGAAGTATTTGCTTTTACCTCCCCACCATCCTTTTTTAAAGGTGTTGAAACATTAGGAAATCCTG